GCGGGCGGCCGCGGCGGGACGGCCGGGGCGGAGGGAGCGGCCGCTTTTTCCTCCCCTCGCGCCAGGAGCCTTCCTTGCCCTGCTCCTTTCGGAGGCCGGGCTGCGGTGACGGCGAATCCACCCCTTCCATCTCGGACTCCCGCCGTGTTTCCATCTCGGCTTTGGCTGCCTCAGCGGCTGGTGCTGCCCTTCGTTCTGGATGGTTTCCCTTTCTGAGAGGCGCTTAGCAGCTATTAGCGAGTTTTAGCTTTGTTCAGCCTCGTTCCGTGTGGGAAAGTTAGAAATTCCAGGCTGTGACTTGAACTGCAGCCAGGGAGGGAGAAACCCCAGCACGTAGCATGCACGCTTTGCTCAGCCCTGGCCTTTCCTGCGGGGCCCTGGCCATCCCTGTCCCCCGCTGCATGTCCCCGGCACCACGGGAGGAGGGCCCCTTCCCTGAGCCCGTTCTGCAAGGTCAGCTCCACGGCTCCTTTCTGGGACACAAGCGCCTCCCTCCTAAGATAAAATTGCCTCCTACCCCCAGTTGCGTTTGCTGATTCCCTCCCCCGTTTCCCGTGCGGCCGCCCCAGCAGCGTGCGGGCTCGGCGGGAGCTCAGCGCTGCGTGACGGGCCGGGCGCTGCGAGCGCGAGGCCGGTGGTCCCTGCACGAGGGCTCCCGCAGCGCTGCCCCGGCCCCGCTCCTCCGCTTCGGGGTGTAGCGCGTGCATCGTAAGGAGACCTATTCAACGCCATTAAAACTAATTGCTCTCGGTGCTGCACGGTGAAGTGGCTCTGGGGAGAGGTTTCACGTGAGTATTTTGGACAGCGGAATGAACGCTGAAAGGCATTACCACAGCGCGGTGGGAGGTCTGGGCTTTTCACACACTATTTTCATATCACCAATGTTATTCCAGGTCCGAACAGCGCCAGGGCGTTAGGATGTGGTTTGCTCAGTCGTTCTGAACCCAACACTTCGAGCGAGCGGGGCCCAAGAGCACAGCCCGTAGCCGCGGCCTCGTCTAGACGAGGATTTAATGGCAGTGGCGGTGCTTGTAACAAAGGTGGTCTAAACTGCGCTAAGTCCTTGGCTTTCTGTAGTAACTAAACCCAAACAATTTAGCATGCAATAAATTTTGTGCTGTCAAATCTGGCATGAACTTCCCAGGGCGTTTTCTTTAGTAATACACGTTCCCTCCAGCCCGTTTCAGACAAAGCCTTCCACTTCGTGCCCAGAGCACGGGCACTGCACATACTTGGAGAATAGCCTGTTTGCTGGCCGTTTATGCCAGAGTCCCTTTCAGGCAATAAAACCACAGGTATCTGCAAAGAAAAAAAAAAAAAAAAAAAAAAACACAGTGATTTTCACCCCAACGCTGCTCGGCCGAGCCTTGTGGCCTGCTCGGGTAAGCGGAGCAGAGGAGGCTGTTCAGCAGTGCCGAGATGGCGCCGCAGGGCGAACACGGCACGGTGCTCCGGAGGGGCTGCGCCTCCGCCACATGAACCATCTGGCTCTGCATCGCGCAGGAGGCGAGGAGGGCTCAGGAATAACCTTCCTCAGCAGGTCTTTACTCCACGCACTACATGAAGTGTAAATATGTCGCATATATGGTGACATAACGGACACAGGAACAGACGGCGCAGTCTGTTCAGGGGCCTCAGCAAGCAATTTATGTACCTGCATTTGAGGCGGCCGTGGTAGGAAACGCTGCTCTTCAGGGCAGCTCCGTGCGCAGGGCAGAACAGCAGCGCACGGAGCATCGAAGTCGTAGCTGGCTCTCATTTAACTGCACTATTAACTTCACAGCCTGATTAGATCTGAAACACCTACACAACCGCTATCTTCCATTAATTAGCAGGCTGGGAAAGAGGACACTCTGCGGTGGGTAGGAATTGCTGCTGTACAGAGAGAAAAGATGAGTGAGGGAAAGTCAGGAAGAGAAGCAAGGGAGAGGAGTTCAGTGCCAAAGCAGTTGAAGCCATTAAAAGAAAGCAGATCCCTCCTCACCCTGTTTTATGCAGGATACGGTCCTCGGACTGAATCCATAAATACAGATAATTAAAAAGCTACCCTACAGGTCAGACTCTCCCCCTGACACCCACAGGAAACGCGCTGTGTGCTCGTATCTTCCCCCCCTTTCTGGCCCAGGGACTGTAATTAAAGAGAAAAGTCAGCCCCTCTCCTGCCTTAGAGAATATAGTGGCACAGCTGGTTTTCATCCTGGCTAGCAGGCTCTATCCTCAGGCTACTAAGTGCTGAGTAATTTTTACCAAGCTCTGCTTGCAGATAAATGATGTTCTTCTTTTAGCTGTTGCCAGGAAAAGCTACAAATACTTGATCTTTTATTCTTTTCTCATAAACTCCTAACATTGAATACTAAAATTGCAGCCAGGATTTTTTTCCGTTGCCATTTATTCTCAGCGCGGTCACAAATGGATTACAGTTGCAGACACCCACCCCTTTGCCAAAGCCCAGCTCTAGTTTCTCATTAACCTGAAGCTTCCTGGTAGAAGTTCCTTCAGTTTCATTGATAGTTTGCATATACTCTAAGGACCCACTTTTATTTATTTGTTTATTTTTTGCCCCAAAACACATTCCAAAAGGAAGGCTTTAAATAACTTCACAGTAATTTTCTGGAAGAGCCTAAGGGGAATGCCAGTCTTAAAAAGAAAAGCCTGAGTGTGAATGTGCAGTTTCGGTGACAGTTTTGGTCACAGCAGGAACTATAAAGTAGCTAAAATTTGTTGAGACTAAATGCAGCACAACTGCTGGGCAGATGAAGCGCAGGCTCAGAGCAATGGAAGGAATCTAGAAAGGGGTGGTACTGCAGCCCCAACAGTTGAATTCAAGTTTTCTGCAGAGATCTTAAGTTTTCTAATAAATTGCCTAAGAATTAGTTTAAAACTATTAAAAAAAAAAAAAAAAAAAAAAAAGCAGTTAGAATCCTGGCCATGCTGTTTGTCCACCCGCTCCAGTAAGTGAAGCGAGCACAGGGAGGAGGCTCAAAGCTGGTGGGAAACACCATGGCTAATTCTGGGAGCCTTTCCAGCCATGCCCGGTGGAAGGCAATGAGTCACACCGCACATAAACATACCTGTGCACTTTGAAAAGATCGAGCAAGATTTTAACCAAACTTGATGCTAGGGATATTCTAGTATCTAAGAACGGTATCAGGTTGACTTCCTAAAAACTTCCAAGGCCTCTCCCGACCACGTTCTCAGTGCCCACACTGGTCGTGAGGGATTCCTGGCCATCATTTCAGTAGTATCAGCCCCTGATTCAAGTCCATTTTCAGTACAAACCAGAAACGAGGGGGAAAAGAGGAGGTAGCAACACTGCAAATTAACAGCCATCTATTGTGAGTCAGGGGCAGCTTCTGCTTTAACAGGTGAGCTGGTATTTGAGCTGCTCTCGACAGCTGTGTCCAGAGAGGACACGTGGCCACGCGCTCTTGTGCCCGTCAGGGATGGGGACACAGGATTCAGGGGCAGCGCGTTTCGGAAGGCGGCTCGGCCGCTGCAGTACGAACGCGCAGCGGCTGCCGGGGCCTGGCTGCCCGGCTCCGTTAGCGAGCCGAGACCCACCTAAAATCCTGGGAACACGCGGGACGGCTGTATTGTAGGATGGGGAAGCGGGGGGACATCTCTGCATCCAGATTCCCAACTAAGCCAGAGCGTTTCTTCTCACAGTGTTTGTGGCAGCCTTCTCTTAGCCTACAGGAACTCTCTGTTTGCTAAAGGTTTTGTTTTGCAATGTAGTCTCTAATTTTAAGAGTTTCCTAAGCGT